ATTTAATAAGCTTATTTTATTTTGTTAATTTCACCAAATTATATTGATAATTTGTAATCCCTTGACATTGTGTTTGTTTTATGGTACTAAACTATTTATCAGTAGTATATTTTTGATTTTATTGAACCTGATTCATTCTTTAAATAATTATATAGTATAATTAAAAATAATTATGTTGATTTTATATTTGAAATAATTTTTTTATGATTAACTTTATTATTTTTAAAACTATTAAACCTATTATGTTAAAACTGTTTATTTATAGAAAAAACACACAGTACTATAAAAAAAATTTCTATTCATATTTATTTTCAAATAATATATTAAAATAGTTATAAATTATTTATACTGGTATTCTGTGTATTAAATAAATAAAAATTACACATAATTTCTAAATAAAATTAACTACGAATTCAGATGTTTTATTTAATATTTAATTATGTTTTTACTATTAATTCCTATATTACAATGTAATTCACTGAATATTGTTACTAGGTTATTCTTAAAATAAATCTGTATTACGATTAAACAATAAAAAAAATTTTACGTGTTATGCGTAACATTTCTGAGTAAATGACAAAGCTGATTAAATTGTATATCTACATGTTTTATACCAAAGGTCCACGACACTTTTCTTACTTGTAATACTGGTTAACATTATAGCAGTCATTTGTAGCAAGGTTTAGTAGATCCTATCGTATTTATCATAAATAGATAATTTACCATATTTATCATATTAATAAATTAATTTATAATACGAAATTTTTAAATTATTGACTATAATAATTTAATATATAATAACTCATATTGAAGTCATGAATTTATTTATAAGCATTTTATTAGCACACCCTTATGCTACCGGTGCTGTATTGGTAATTACTTCATTAGCTATGTGAGTACGTTTACATGTCCGATTTAGTATTTCTTAATATTTATAAGCTTGTTAATATTTTTCATAGTTTACACTTAATATAATCATTAATGGGTATTATATTATAAATAAATACTTTAGTGATAAGCTATTAAATAGGTTTACGATTCATTAACAATCTTAAATAACTATACGGATATATTCAATCACAATTTGAATTTTAATTGATCCTGATTCTATAATTAAAGTTACTTCATAATGTTAATTTAGCTTTGTTAGGCACAAATTTATATACTGGGCCAGGCATGGTGTACCAGGGCCAAATTTCATATTCATCAAAAATGTGCTAGGTTATTACCACGATGCCACACAACACGCTGTACGTAAATACGGACGTGTATACGGCACCTACAGCTTACACAATAAAGGTATCACGATAAACGAGCCGACATTAATCAGGGACATTTTGGCTAAAGATTTCCACATTTTCGCCAATAAGCCAATATATACGGGTAAAGCAAGAATATACAAGACCATTGCTCTCATTTCCGCTAATGATCAGTGGAGGCATATCAGGAGTATAATGTCCCCGGCGTTCAGCTCCGGGAGGTTAAATGCCATGATGTCTCATATATCGGACATTTCCAATAGGCTTGTGGATAATTTGGAAAAATACAAAAAGTCTGGTAGGTTGTTTTAAAAATACAATGCAAGTTTATTAATAATTATACAAGTGTGCTCAATTTTTTCAACAAGGTATTATATTTAAAATTTTATCAAAATTAACCTAGAGCAGTATTACATAGTTTTTAGTTCATTTTAAAATTCTTTTTAATCATAATAAAAAATGGTAAATGGTACATCTATCATATAAATAAATTATATTATATAATTTTGGTCAGAAACGTTCAAGTAGACATATATTATTTTAATATAAATTATCTATAGTATTACAAATTGTTCAAGTACAAAAAATTTTCACGTCTAATCTAGGTGAACCATTTAAAATAAGCGATTTATTATGCGCGTACGCAATGGACGTAGTCGGTGCGAGTTTTTACGGAATAAACATCGACTCATTAAACAACCCTGATCAACCGGTGGAACGGTACTTGAAGCGCATATTTAGCGGTAACGGCACCTTTAGCCAGGCCATGTCATCCATGGCCCCCACGGTGGCCAAGTGGTTGGGACTTGAGTTTTTCGACACCGAATCGACCGCTTATTTCGATGCCCTAACCGATCGTATATTAAGCGAACGGAAACACAATAATAAGTATACAAACAGTCGGCGAACGGATTTCGTGCAACTGATGATCGACTCCGAGAAGTCTAATCGGGATTTGGGTTACGACTCGAGTAGTGATGTCGACCCCACTCCCGAAGGGGAGTCCCAAACCGCGGGTCAACCCAAGGGTACACTAACTCCCGATGAACTAATAGCCCACGGAATGTCGCTATTTGTGGCTGGCTACGATACTGCCAGTTCCACCATGATTCATTCAATATTTTATTTGTCAACAAACATGGACTGCCAAACCCGGTTGTTTGAGGAGTTAAGCACTTGTACCGAGTTCACCAACGACACCACGGTGCATTTAAAATATTTAAACGCGGTGATCCACGAGACATTACGACTAGCCCCACCCCTGACCCTTTACCATCGTGTGTGCCGTCAAGACTACAAATTAGGAGATACAGGTAAATGTATAATATATTTAAGTGATCTATTGAGACATCTTAAAACCAGCATGATAAAATATGAAATTTAAAAAACTAATTTAGAATTGATATACTACATATATCATAATACTGATATATGACATGTTAATCACATATTACAGGCATAATAATACCTAAGGGAACTAATGTAGAGATATTTCCATATGCCTTACACCGGGACCCGGATTACTGGCCCAATCCCGACGATTTCATACCCGACCGGTGGTTCGAGTCCACACACCATCCCTAGGCCTACATACCATTTGGCGGCGGCCCTCGTGTTTGTCTCGGTCAACGGTTTGCCATGAATGAGATGCGAATGTGCCTGGCTAAGTTATTTAGTAAATATGAGTTTACATTGGCACAACCACCTGTTTTGGAGTATTATAGAGGGTTTCCATTTATGTCGCCTAAGAAATTAATTGTAACAATAAAAGCTCGCTAATATTTAAATATTTGTTTGTTAAGTTATATTATTTTTAAATAATATAGTAATAAATTGATATTAATATTAAATATTATCTGTACCAATGGTTTTTAAGTTATATCTTGGTTAAATTAAAAATACCATTGATAATAAACACTTCAATATAATAATACATAAATTAATAAAAATAATATAAACCTTAAAATAGCATTATAATGTGTGTAACTCACAAAAGTTGCTTATTGTAAGTAGGTGGCTTAAAGACAATGTCAAACTAAAAATTTTTATTTAAATTAAGAATTTTTGGTATTACCATAAAAATATATGAAGTTAATAATGACAAATAATAAAAAAATTATTATTCTAACTGTAAGGATTAATGAGTTACACTNTATGGATTTTATTTTCACAAAATTATTTTTAGATTGGGAATTGATCTATGGCATAAATCCAATTTGTGAAAAATTGTGCATGTCAACAATTTTAGTTTTGCAAAAATCACCCTTTTACCCCTCGAGAACGCAAGGTTTCTCTTCACTATCTTATAGTAGACTAATAGAGCTATTAAACCAACTTTTCATACCTTGCGTTCTCGAAGGGTAATACAATTGAATTCACGTTTATAATTTTTAAACAACATTTTACGTTACAAATTAATTGTTTATAAAAACATTTGTTAGTTGAATTAAAAACTCTTATATATGTCTATAATTTAGTGAAAAAACTAATCAAAAATCTAGTGTAGTTTTCTTTTAATTTAGGTTTGAAGTATAAGAATATAAACCAGTGTAACTCATTAATCCTTACAGTTAGAATAATAATTTTTTTATTATTTGTCATTATTAACTTCATATATTTTTATGGTAATACTAAAAATTCTTAATTTAAATAAATGTTTTTGAGTTTGACATCGTGTTTGAATTAATTTTGAATTAAAAGGATTTTTAATAAATTTAAAACAAAAGGAAAAGTAATGTTAATTTGTTAAATATTATCAAGCAAGAATGTTATAAATAAATTATATGGAAATAAAAATAAGTTTCTGATGATAAACCATTTTTAGTTTTTAAGTATTTTCAAAATAACCATATTAATATTAATACCAATTTATTTGTCGTATATTATTATTTATAAGGAAAACACTTAACACTTATTGTGAATTTATTGACTCATATATAATATGAACTTTGAACAATCATAGTAACGTTAGCTATTTTTATTAATACTTTAAAATCCAGTAATATTTTAACCTGATGAGTTATAATACTATTCGTTTACTTTAAACCTATGAATATTTTATGAATAATTGACTTTTGCATAAAATTAGATACTGTATAACAAATATAAAATAGCTAACGTTACTATGATTGTTCAAAGCTCATATATGATATATTCATTGTTTGCTAAATAAGGCACGAATAGACAAACAAAAGTCAAAATGATTACAACACATAATAATTGAACATTTTAAAAATAAATAACAATGAGTTTTAATATAATGTCTCAGGAGGACAATGTATGTCATCCCATAAATATTTACTAAAATAATTCAAATATTAATTTAATTATCAGTTAAATTTATGAATATATTTAATATTAGTTTTAATATTAGTTTTAAATTATTTATATAAACTATGAAATCATTGAAATTATAAAGATATTCTCTCAATAATAACAATTGTAGCTATACTGTGACCAACGTCCAGGGTTGACCTGGACTGTCTAGGAATTAGGATATCTGTCCAGTGTCCAGGACAATGTAATGTCCAGAAATGGTACAAAAGAAATGTCAACAAAAAGATTTACAATTTATTAAGAAAATTGAATAAATTAATTATAAGATTTAATCTTAATTTTAAGTTAATATAGAAATCTTATTTTAATTTTTATAATTTATGATTAATTTATTATTTTTTATATAAAAATATAAGATTTAAAGATCCGACACACAACATAATATATACTGTATAACTTTATATCATATCAATAATTGAATATATCAAAAAATGATTCATAAACTTAAAATAATACAATATAATTAATAGGAACTTAATTATTAGTGTAATATTGACGTATTAATTATTATGTATAATTATCATTTATATCACAAGAATTAGTCCCATTAATTATATGGTATTATTTTAATTTATGAATAATTTATTGATATATTTAAAGCGTTGTTGGTGCATTTGTTTTACAATATAATTTTTAAAATTCACAATTACTTTACATTTTTTACTTTAAAAGTTTATTTAATATATGGCTAAAATAATATAATTTAAACTTAAATTTAAGCTAAATCTATATACCGATGTATTAAATTAGTTTTATCTATATTTGTTATGTTTATTTTTGACCAAAATAAAATTTTATATACCAAAAATGGCTT